TATAAAAAGAATGAGATAAATACCAATGAATGTTAGGTATATCAGAAAAAGGCTAAATTCTTGAACATAGTAAACTAAAGATTTAATCCACATTGAATTTTAATGTTCAAAATAACTCAAATTATATTACTTTCTCTTTCTTTGTAGGAGTGAAACAAAGGTAAATGAATAGGGATGACAAAGTGGGTGGTGTAAAATTTAAATGAAAGAAAACAAATGAAAATAGAGGACTTTAGATAAAAGGAATGAGAAATATGAAAATGAACAAATGATGATTTTTATTTTAAATTTAAATAAGAGGTTTTGTTTTTTTCATAAAATAAATTCTATGTAATATAGAAATTATGTTAATGGATTTTTTTAAAATTTATATAAACTTTTTAATTTTAATAATAATAATAATAATAATAATAATAATAATAATAATAATAATAATAATAATAATAATAATAAAAGATATATTTAAAAAAACATGTTGCTGTATATTCTCGAATGCTAAAGTTGTTCATTTTCTTTATCTAACTCAAACTTGCAAATAATAATTAAGAAATCAAAGTGTTAATGTAAATTGTGATTTATCATTGAAACAATATGAATTTGGCTGAAACAAAATTTAAGCAATTTGAAATATTGTTGATAAAATTTGTATTATGAAAACTGAGTTACTTAGAAAAAGCAAGGTGAAAAAGTAATTTCCATTGATTTGGAAGCATATCCGTAGTACAAGTAGAATGACCAACCAATTACCCACTGTCTGCAGAAGCCGCCTCATAAGCTGAGTTTCCCTCAAACTCATACACTCACTCCCTAACTCACCTAGAGAGAGAATAATAGTAACTTTTGTATTGGTAGAGAGAGGTTAACAAAGAGACAAAAGTGTTCAGCTTTTTTAGGGTGAAAGTGAGATCTTTTAAACGCATAACCATTTAGCATAGCAGTGTGTGAAAAAAGAAAAACATAGAGTCTCTCTGAAACGCATAGAGAGAGAATAGACTTAATCTACACGCCATTATAGTGTGGTCTTTGATTCAGAGATATGAGATAAACATTCACTCCAACCATTGCTTTTCTGCAAATTAGGTTAGGGCTTTCTTCTTTCTATTTTCAATCATAATACTTCTATCTATCATTATTCTATTTTATTTCTTTATTTATTCATGTAATACTTCTACTATCATTATTCTCTTTTATTTGTTTATTTATTAGTTATAATGACTATATTTTTGTTTACTTTTTACTAGAGAGACATGTTGGACTATGAATGGGGTAACCCATCTAATATCATGCTTACTGGAAATGAAGATAACTCCGCCGCCGCTTCCGATCAAACCCACCGTCAAATCTTCGACCACTATGCTTCTCAAGCTATGCTATCCGAGAATTACTTAAACGGGTCTGGGCCTGCCATCAACATGAACCACTGTGATTTCAACCATCACAACCAGCAGCAACAACAGCAACACCACTTTAGCCCACAAGCCCAACAGCATCATATGCATCACTCTTTCTTTGACCCACGGGCTTTCCATGGAGGGTCTTCAACAAACTCATACCCTCCACCTCAACCATCACAGCATCCTTCTTTGCTCTCTCTAGACCCACTTCCTCAAAACTGTGGGCATGGACATGGACATGGGCCTGGCCTCCTTCTTGTCCCGAAATCAGAGGATATTAACAGGCCCATGGACTTTGTCGGCTCGAGGATTGGCCTTAACCTTGGTGGCCGTACTTACTTCTCCTCTTCCGAAGATGACTTCGTGAGCCGACTCTACCGCCGGTCTAGACCTCCTGAACCGGGTTCACATGGTTCTTCCAACTCGCCTAGGTGTCAGGCCGAAGGATGCAATGCTGATCTGTCTCAGGCGAAGCACTACCACCGCCGCCATAAGGTTTGCGAGTTTCACTCCAAGGCAGCCACCGTCATCGCCGCTGGGTTAACTCAGCGATTCTGCCAGCAATGCAGCAGGTTGTGGTCTTGAAATGACATAACTACCCCTTAAGTAACCCAATCATTGAGCTGAATTTCTCTTATCACAACATTCTCTCCAAGGACATTTTCGTCTATTTCAAATATCCCTTAGCTTTATCCTTTTTTATCTTTCCTTCTAAACAACAATCATTTACTAAACTTGTTTTAACTTGTATTAGATTCTAATTAAACCGAAACATATTTTTCCTAAAAGACGAAAAGGTCCTCGGTTTCAACGTGTGGGGGAAAAGCATGCAATAAAACACCAACCACAACACAGCTAGAGGTGTTGGAGGCTGGGGGAGAACGTTGGGATTTGAAAAAGACGAAAGTACCCTTGGGGAAAGAGTTGACAATGATTGTGTTGACCGTACATGGGGAAATCCCGAGGGTATTTGTGTCCTTAAAATACATAATGTGTTTGTTTTCTTTTCAGTTTTGCTACTTACGTACTGCATTGTTTTGCTGCTTTTAGTTAGTACCATTCAATTCAAATCAAACAAACTACATTGTGTCTCAAACAAAATAATATTTTTATTTCTATATCTTAAATTATCTAAATCTAAAAATATTGTTATTTTTTATTGCAGGTTTCATCTTCTTTCTGAGTTTGATAATGGAAAACGTAGCTGCAGAAAGAGATTAGCGGATCATAATCGCCGCAGAAGAAAAACTCAGCACCCAAATACTCAAGAAATTCACAAACCTCACAACACTCTGGAAACTGCTGCTACAAGTAATTCTAATTTAATTATTTCCATTTTTATTTATTTAAAGTAATTAAAGTATTCTTTCCATAATCATGATTATAGATAGATTATAGATAGATCTATGACTATGCTATACGCTTTATTTTCTATTTATGAAAAATAGTAATAAAAGGTGTTTAATTTCTTTAATTTTTTTTAAATATATTTTGGAAGGATCTCCGCCGGAGTCGGGTACTCAGTCTTCTTCATCGGTGACAGTGGCGGTTTCTCCGCCGGATTATTTTCGACAAAGGTCGTATCAAAGCCCAAGCCCATCTACAAATTCAAGCTCAATGTTTTTCTCAACTGGGTAATGGAAGCAAGAAATGTGTAGCATAACTAGGAGCATGCATATCAGTTTAATTTGCATGGCTAATTATAATTAATATTATAATTAATATATTTCCAAGAAGTAATTAATTAATGGAGGAGCGTCACTAGCAACAATAATATAATATGTAATAGTTAAGTGAAAGTTCCACTTGTAACCTTTCTCCTAAAATTAATTTCAAATTAAGCTTTATAATATATTTTCTTGTTACTTAACTACTCTTGTTAATTAGTAAGTCAAATAGCATCTATGTTCATTTTTATAGCTTTTCCCGTTTCTATTTCTGTGAATGTTATGATTTATGTTTTGACAGAGTGTATTCTATGATAAATATATCATTCTTAGAAAAACTAAAATTAGCAACAAAAAATCTAAAAAAAATTAATCCCTTTATATTTTTGTCCAAGATTTAACGAGGAAATACACTTTTAATATTTAGCTATTACGTATTAGTTTTCTTAGTAACAAAGGTGTAATTTTATTGAAAACTAACAGAAACTGAGTATAGTAGAATGGAGATAAGTCTTTATTTTTGATCAAGCTCATAGAGTAGTTGAAGAGACATTAATTTGTAGAGAACCAAGTTTGAAAGTATATCATTTTATTTTTCATTTTAAGGGTCATTTTAAGGGGTCAAATTCTACTCACAAAACTATTAAAATAAATAATGAGATTGACTTTTACAAATGACATTAAATTTCTTTAATTTTATATTTTTAAATAATATATAAAGGAGAACTAAAACTAAAATATACATAAAAAAATATAACAACTAACGACCTAAAAAAACCCAACAAACAAGATAAATCGACCATAATAGACACAACGAAATCAGAAAATAAAAAATTATTGAATCACTACAATATACTCCAATAAAAAAAATAAAAATAAACTACAACACAAGAAAAAATTCAAGTCGACCTAACCAACATATAACAAAATATTAGATTAATTTAATAAAAAATATATCTTTTATATATATATATATATATATATATATATATATATATATATATATATATATATATATATATATATATATATATATATATATATATATATATATATATATGTTTAAATCATTGATATACCCTAACACTCTAAATTTTTCAAGAAGTGGTATTTAAGAGTTTAAGTTCATTTTGGTGGAGAGTTTTTTTTTTTGATAAGAAGAATCTATTAATAAGAGATTAAGGACATCTCAGACCAAAAGAAACTGTTATATGAAGTCAAAAGGAAATTTGAACCAATCGTACAAACTACATTGCTTGCTTCCCTTCCTACCTAGGATCAACCAATTCCAAGAGGAAAGTTTAATATCGAAAACAATACTGTCGACCTCAGTAACTACATTATTGAATATATATTCATTTCTAGACCTCCAAATACTCCAGCAGATAATAAACCAAATTGAATTTATTCTGATCGCTTGACATCGGCCACTAAGGCTCGAGTTCCACGCCTTCGCGTGAGAGTAGCAGCAAGTTTCAGATATTATCTCTATATCCGCCCACTCGCAAATCTTGTTCCAAACCTGCTTGGATTTAAAGCCTGAGAAGAAGAGATGAGATACGTCCTCGAGGCTACTAGAACAAAACACACAATTCAAGTCTTGCTCAGAATCAAACACCCTTCTTTTCAACAAATTAGTTCTAGTTGACAATTTATCAAACACCATTCTCCAGCTGAAAGTTTGAACTTTCGCCGGAATAACCGTCTTTCAGAGAGACTCAAGATGGGATGCACATTCAGAACCAATATCTTGATCAGAGGAAGAGGGAGTTAGAACTGAATTTAAAGAGTTAACCTTGAAAGACAAAGAATCATGAATCAGCCACCGCCATTTGTCGGACTCGTCGGGGATAACTGATACATTATCCAGCAATTTACAACAATCAGACCAGTCTGGTTCAGGAGGGGAATCTGAGTCGATCAAAGAATCTCTAATTTTTCAAGTCCACTGCCCTTCCTCCCAGAATCCCATTTCACGAACGGTCGCTGACTTCGTAGAACAACTCTGAAATAGCCCGTTAAATATGACTTTAAACAGCAGATCACCATTCCAAATTGACTGCCAGAACGCGACGTCGTTACCTTCACCAACGGAGCAGGTCGTGAAATTGCAGAAGTTGACATGAGAATTGAGGGACGCGTTGGTCATAACATCCTTCATACACAGCGAGTCAGATTTCAAATTATCAACGTCGAAGTAAGTTTGCGTCTTGATACTGAGGTTACCGTATCTGTTAGTGAGGGACTTCCTCCAAATTTCATTACCGCCAGTTTGGAACCTCCAAAGCCATTTTGCCAACAAGGCACTATTGAACCGACCCACATGCTTAATTCCAAGACCGCCAAGTTCCTTAGATTTACAAACAAAATTCCAAGAAACCCAAGGAATAAATCTTTTGCTTGATTTTCCAGCCCATAAGAACCGACGTTGGATCGCAATAATATCCTTCAGAATTTTATGGGGAGCCTTGAAGAAAGCCAAGTAATGGATAGGGAGATTAGCTAAAACCGAATTTATGAGGGTTACTCTACCTCCCATAGACAGATTTCTCCTATTCCAGTTGGACAATTTGTTCCTCAAGCAATTCAGAACCGACTTCCAAAAAGAGTAGCGACGATGGTTGCCACCAACCGTGATTCAAAGAAAGCTAAACGAAAACTTTCCTGATTTGCAGTGAAGGAAATCTTCAGCAGCCACAAAAAAATCAGGTTCTACTCGAATCTCATACAAGCAACTTTTGGAGTAATTAATTTTAAGACCTGAAGTTAATTCGAAAGCACGAAGAATAGCCTTGGTGGAGAGTTAAATATGATTATAATATGAATCAGATTAGTGATCCAAAATTAGACTAGTTCTCAACACTTTATCGATTCTCCAACACATTATAATATTAAAGTACTAGTTGTATTGTTGAAATTCTATTAAAGTCGTTATTATTTTGAGATATAAAATATATAAATATAAAAAGTAGTTTTAAACTATAAAAATATTGTATTTGATGTTCGAAATGTCTTGAATAAGATGAATTTGTGTTAAGAAAAAAAAGTAAAAGTAAAAAAAAAAAAAGATAGTAATAAGTAGTAGTTGGGTAGGTATCTAAGTTAGGGAAGTAGAAAGAAATGGAATTGTGCAATACAAGTGTTGTACCATATTGATGATATGGTCGGGTTTAACTGCAGTAAAAAAAAGAGTAGTGCGATAGTTAGGGTAAAGCGTAGAAGAGAAAAATGGCCCCCTCAATTTGTATTTACCTGGAAATAGTATCTGTCTGTTTTGTGTGGTGGCAGCTCAACACAGAACACGGGTTATTCATCATTTTATTTTTCAGGCAATCAATTATTTTCCTTTTGTCTTGTACTCTATTATTTCCTAAAAAAATGAAGTTATCATATAAATTATATCAAATTTTTTGAAACATTTTCATTTCAATTCTAAGCCGTCAAGCTGTCTCCTATATGGAAGCTATATAGCTGTACTACTAAACCCAGTAATATATTAGTTGCCCATATCAACCTGCAGATGCTCTTACTCTTTCTCTCTCTACTCTCTCTCTATACATATACATGTCTCTGATGTGTTGCTATTCCTTGTTAAAGTACCTACCTATTGTAGTCTAACAAAAAACATATATATAAAGTGGAATCATTTCTTACTATCTCAATCTTAAATTTAATGTCTATATATTTACTTTTATCATATAAGTTAAGAATACTAGTATTAATGAAAGTACACTATAGTTTTTAAACATTGTTTCAAAAATATATATTCAACTGTACTTTGGACTTGTGAAAAAAATATTAATTTGGGAAATTCTTAAATATTGAATTGGGTTGGCTATAAGAGTGTTTCTCCATTTAATTTATGTATAGAATAAAAATGAACAATATTATTGAATTTGGTTGGCTTTTTATTAAGTAAGGAGATTAATTAAAAGAGTACTAGAGTTACTTTAATCCTTGATATAAGAAGAAACTTTCAAGAACGGATTTAATTATCTTAGATGAAAAACAAACCGAGGAAAAATTCGAACCAACTGATAACTGAGACAAACAAATTAATGGAGCTTGACAAAGATCAAAGAAATTTCAGTTGGAATAAGAATTTTTCTCTATAAAAGACCACTTCCAAGTAGTAAGTTTAATATCTCATAATAAATCTGAAATACTACAAAAAGCTCTCTCGAAAATAATTGAGTTTCTAACGTTCCAAATATTCCACACCACCGTCATCTAAATAATTCTTGAGTTGCCATTCTTCAAACGATAAGATCTGTCAACACCTGACCAATTCAGAAAACTCTTCCATGTGACCTCTTCAGAAACCCACTCCAAACAAGCACATTATTTCAAATAAGCTTAGAAACCCTGCACCAAAAAATAAATGATTTAGATCTTCATCTATACGAAAGCAAATGGTGCAAGGGAGGTCATGAGAAGATTGGATAATGCCTATGTGAACTAATTGATCCTTGGTCGGGATCCCATTAATGAAGCCACTATGCCAAAAAAGACCTATAGCAGCGCTTTTTTTAGCCTTTAGTAGCGCTTAAAAGCGCTGTCTAAAGTGGCGCTGCTATAGGTAAAGACAACGTTTTTTTTTGGGAAAAAAACACTGCTTCTTCCCCCTTTTTAGCAGCGCTTTTAAAAGCGCTCTCTAAAGTCCATTTTCCTAAGACCTTTAGCAGCGCTTTTATTTGCATTTAGCAGCGCTTTCAAAAGCGCTCTTTTTACCACACCTATAGCAGCGCTTTTTAAAAGCGCTCTCTTTTCTCTACCTTTAGCAACGCTTTTCCTTTAAAAGAGCTGTCTTTTCTCACATCATTGATTTTTTTTCAAGATCACTTTTTTTGGCAAAAAACGCTGTCTTTTGTGCATATTTTTATGAAGTGTTTTTTGTTTTATACTGTTGCGCAATTCTTCATAATTTATCACACAAACCTGCTTATAATAATTATATTTAACACAAACCTTTATTTCAACACTACTTAGGCCTTATACATAACCTTCTTACAATCATTGTAATTCAACACGATCCTTTATTTCAACACATATGCCTTATATGTATATTATCATTCAACATAAACGATCCATACTTATAAAATATATTCCAAAACCGATAATGTCACAATATTCACTATACATATAATAAAAAATTCCATAAGTACGGATCCTCACAACAACACAATACGATTTCGATCTAGAAGTATATCAATAAATTCCAAAACTATATACGACTTCCAGAACTATAATTTATCCAGTAGTATGTACAAAATATCACAACAACACAAATCTCCAATCAAAAGACATAAAGACAATATACCTTATACAATTCTCATCTCAAGAATGTATTGACACCATTCCTCCTTAATTTCTTCCAATTTTTCTTTCGAGTAAGTGTCACACTTAAATTCATCAAAGTACTACATAATATAACAAAACATGCATGATTTAGTTAAAACTAATTACTTAGATGAAATACCGGATAAATATCAAAATAAATCATATAACTTATAAATCCATACCATGTTTGGAATCTCTATTTGACCCGAATGAATAATTTCCTTCATAAACCTCAATACAAAATAGCCGCAATCAATACCATTGCGCTGACGAGGACACTACACATGAAAAAAATACGAATACATATCAGGATATATATTTTAACTAGTTTTAGCAAACAACATCACTATAATAATCAAAATTTGAAAATATACCTGCACTCTGATCCAACTAATGTTGTTAGCCTTACTCTTTAGTACTCTTGATTGTCTTTGTGATCGAAATATTTGTATAGCTTTAAACATAATATAAACGAATATTTATAGCAGTCTCACATAATAAATAAAGATATACACGAATTATTCAGAACAATCTCATCACTTACGTTTTAACCATCTTCTTCATATCGGGATATTTTGTTTGATCCCCATCTAATGAATCCAAATAATACACAATTTTTTTATCAGATTAATCGTGACCAACAACTAGTGTCCACTGTAAAATAAGGCAAAATTTTAAATGAAAATGTTATAGAGAATGTTTAAAAAGAATAATTATAATAAATGAAATTAGAATGAAATCTAACCCATGGCCAATATTATATGGCAAAAAATACAACTTTTCTGTATCTTTGACCATAAATGCTCGGACTACGTAATCTCTGACTGCATCTGGATTGTGTTCGATTAACCGTGCATTGATACAACTAGAAGATAAGAATGAGAACCTCAGAAAGTTTCTGCTGAAAATTATAATTGATACTATCTTTGTCACTAGTATCCTTAAACTCATGACCGCGCCTTTCTGACATGTATCTCTCTTTGTCCTTTTGCAATTCACGAACTTGAGCTCTCAATTCTTCCAACGACTCCATGACTTCTTTATTAGTCGGATTTTTTTTCTTTGAATTCTTATACAATTTTGTTGGAGTGACACCAAACCCCTTACCCCTCACACGACCAGTATACTCAGGAACATTTAATACTCGACTGAGTAGGCTCCCGCAATCATGGTCTTCAGATGCAGTTATAGTCTGGGATAGACTCTCCTGAAATGTAGAAAAATATTAGTGCGAATTAAAAAGCATAAGTATATTATATGTTACTACACTTTTGAGTTTATGACAAAACTAATGTTATACTTACACATTGCTCAAAAACTTGTTGAACATCTTCCTGAACAACTCCATCTCTACCCACACGAGCAGCCTTCCACAAAACATGTTCTGGAACAGATGTTGCATCACTTTTCTCCTCTTCTAACTGCACATTAAGACAGATAATAAGTTTCATTTTTCTCGTATTTTAATTTCATCATAATAAAGCATTTATATATACTTACTATTTTCTGTTATAAGCGTGCATATCCCAAACGCCCTTTTTTGTATGGATACGCGGGTTTTGATGCTCGTTGCCGATTTATGTCACTCACAACCTGAAAAAACAAGTTTAAGCCATATCAGAACTCATGTGAAATAAGTATATATATTATACATTGTTCATGATAAGATAACATTACATGGGAATTCTTTGGTTCTTCTCTTGGCAACAAAAGTCTCCCATTCTTCAAGTGAAATCAAATCCGCATACTTCTTTGATCGCTCTGACTCAACAAAGTTTCCATCAGAATGCTTAAGAAACTTGTTCGTTAAAAATGCTCGAAATCATCCAAGTCTTTTTCCGGCTAATTGAAGACAGTATTTTTTCCAGTTGTCATCAATATTAAAAGACCTCTGCAAATTAAACAAATTAACATATATATAGTGTGTTAGTATAAATAATTTAAAGACATAACCATCAACAAAAATAAATAATGTCAGATATGATACCTGTATCTCACTCCATATTTTTTATTTAGCTGGTTTCAACGATGGAATTCTCCAATTATCACAAGTGATTGGAATTTGCGAGCGAACAAGTGCAACAATGTAACTTGTTAACATCGCATCGTTAGGCTCAATTAATTGGTCTGTTTCATTCCAATGCAGATCATATTTTATACCTTTATCTCTCGCACGAATGATTCCCTTCATAATCATTA